TTGTGCACAAGATAGAGTGTGTTTCTACTTTTTAAGTACAAAGTACACTACAAAGAACAAGCCATCCACTAATTGTAAGTGTGAGCCGAAAAGCAGGTACCACAAGTTTCAGTTTAAGCAGTGAAAGATTTCTTGGGTTTTCATCAAATTCTCTGTTCCTGGACTTTTCCTAGAACCGGACTGTGCATGGCTGAGACTGTCCCAACAAGAATAGTGTAAAGATTAGCCTTTCCAGATCCTCTACATCCCATCGCTGTATGTGATCTCTTGCACCGGCCTTTTCAAATGGTCCTGCTATAAAGTAAGTCATTCATCTGGTACAGAGTGCGCCAAATGTTCTGCTATCATTATTGTATGACCTACCGTAAAAACTCTCATAGAAGCCCCCTCGCCTCTGACCCTTCAAAATATTTATTCTTTTGGGACATTTCTTGATACGAATGGATAGAATTCGCATAAATATGCCAAAATGATCATTGGCAGTAAAATTAGTTGGACGGTTTTCAAAAAATTCAAAAATTTTTGAAAAAAATCGACTTTTTCAGAAAAACTGCTAGAGGCTCTAGGTAAGAAAAGATTTTCACCGGAAAACGTGTCCTACAATCTTTTTAAGCCAAGGGCTATCGTTTAAAACAGTTTTAAAGAAAAAACAAATTTTCGATTCATATGGGAGACCCTTACCTATTTTTTTGACCGACCGATTTTAAGGGGTTGAAAAATAGAAGCACCGGGGCTTCTATTAAATTTTTTTTACGGTATATCTTTTGCCGTTTTGTATTTTAAATCACAATTTTCACAATCACAATAATGTTTTTGTATTATTTTTAACAAATTAGAAAATTTTTACACATGCAAAAGGTGTGGTCAGAGGATGAAAGTCGACACTGAACAGATAATGATCATCGAGCTGCATAAAAAGGGGGAAGTATAATTCTGAGATAATCACTGGCTATGGGAAATCAAAAGTGCTAAGAGCCGCACCAGATTCACATCAGTTGGACAGCTCAAAGTCCCTTTGAGTGGGGCTTGGAGTGAGATTTCGGTGAACGAGTGCGCGACCATAGTTCGAAAGCGACTCAGCAAGTGTATTGAAGCAAACGGAGACATTTTGAGCATTTAATGTAATTCTTTTTTAACCTATATCGTTGTTACATATTCTAAATTGGTTTTCTTGTTTGATTTTTTGTAAATTTCGTTTGAATTTGCGTGCAATGGGATGCGTTCGGTAAGATGATAACAAAACTCTCGGCGCACCCTGTCTCTAGCCCAATTTACTTTTACCAGTTCAAATTTCAGATCATGTTCCTTCTCGGAATCATTGAGATGCTCGGTTTGTTGACCAATTCAATCATGACCGGTTATCTACTGATCAAAGGCGCCGTTTTCTGCACTAATCCAGATTTGATTTTTATTTTCGGAGCTTGGGGCGATGGTGAGATATAGATAAAGAAAAAAAAGATAGATTTTTCAGGTTGTTGGTCAACATCGTGCTTGTGTTGCTTAGTCTTGGTCGTAAATCGACTGATGGAGTTGTGGAAGCCACACTTGGTTGAACGAGTGTTCAAAGGTGGTTTGAAAAGGAGCTTATCAATGTATGGAAATCAATGTATGGAAATTATAGAGATTAAAAATTAAAGTTTATCATGTCTTTTGCTTTCCAGAGTTTTTTTAGCTTTTTGGTCATGTTGTAAATTTAAGCCTTATGAATGATTTATTGAATGCATCGCTTGGCATAGGCGGGGAAAATTTGAATTGAAAACGACAAGTTACATAAGCTGACAGGATATCTTTGATACCTTGACTTTAAATAACAATTCCTTTAGGCTGGAAGCTCGTCCTTATCCTCTTTTTCACAATCCTTTACGGAGCCTGGTTTTTCCTATTCAACTCACCAATCTTATTCAACTCTTTCCATTGCTCATGGTTCTACGATCCATTCATTTACTCAAAGCGTTCCAATGAGGTGATATCATAAATTCAGTTGTACTATTCTTAGTTCCAGTACATGACCATTCAAATGGTGATCAACAACCTGTCGCTGTGTGCGATTACGTGCAGTTTGTATACAATTTTATGTGCTTGTTTGGGATATCGCTTCAATCAGCGAGGACCACATTCCCAGATGACTTGGGGACAAAAATCGGTGAATACAGAGCGTTAAATATTTATGGGAACTTTTGAGCTTGAAGGTTGTTTAGCGCTTATGAAAAGATCGGTAAGAAAGCACTGAATTAGAGTTTGGACAAACATGAAATGTTTATGAAAAGATCATTAAGAAAGCACTGAATTAGAGTTGGGACAAACATAAAATGCTCACTTACTTTTACTGTTTACTCAATTTGTTATGCGGAAAGCCGATTTATTGGAATTCGATCACTAAATTATACCTGAAGAGGTCAGACTTAGTTATTCTTGTTTAATGATAAGAAATGCCTCACTATTTATCAGTTTTCAAATTTATTAAACATTGAAAATGTTGGAATCATATTTCAGTTTTGATTCTTTCAAAAAAACTTCACATACGTTTGTGAAAAACTCAATTGATCAGATTTTCGTGCCATAGTAAGCGCTTTCCACGGGAGTTTCTAGACAAATATCAGCCCGAAAGGCAATAATGAAAACAAAATGACTTAAACTTAAACTATATGTGTTTAATATGTTTGTTTCTTTTTAAAGCATTAAATTTGTAATTGTTGAAACAGTCATCAAATCCTTTTAGGTGTTCATCCAAGCCACTGCCATCTGTATGGCAAACTTTGTTGCCGCTGTCACTTACACTTATATGCAAGTACGTACAAATGACTTTTCCTTACGATTAGATTGTTTTTTTAAAAGTTTTTATTGATTTTTACTATTAGTGAACTAATCTAACAGATCCGTGTCACTTTTAGTTTTTTTGGACTCCTCCTTTCTTCATCCTGCTCGGCCACTTTGCGTGGGAGATGTGCAGCGGTTAGTTGGTTCAACTTCTCGGGCACTGAAGCTTCTATCTTTAAGCTAATTAGTTAAATTCAATCAGTTCATTTGTTCCTAAAGACACCTTAATGGGGTGTGACAATCACGGCCGTTTCTAACAAGGGAATTTCAAGTGGGCAAGGTGATCAAATGGCATTTGCTATATACCATTCGACGTAGAATTTCACACTGATTCCGAATATAGTTTTAGTTTTTGCTATGCGCTACCCTATCAAAAGTTATACTTTTGTTTAAAGTTTTATAAGGCATTTTTGAACTCAAGGTCAACTTATGATAAGTTAGTTTCCCAAAGACTTTTTAAAAGCGCCGGTGGCAGTAGGTCGCATGGGAAACAAACATTGACTGGTTCGAAATCTTTTCACTTAGAATCGTCACACTTAGATTGCCACACCTCCTTTAACTTAAGGATTCCCCGCAATCGTCTATGTAACGATGAATCGCTCAGTGCGTCGCGATATCTACAAGCTTTGGAGGTGAGTGAGTGGTGTACTTTGTGCCCTGAATTGTTAACGCATCGATTCTGGTGCACCAAATCCTTTAGTTAATCTAGAAAAATCTTTTGAAGTGCGCACTGCGTTTACATTCTTGAAAACACAAAGTGCTAGATAAATCAAGGGAAATTTCTAGTTAAAAAATCACGTCTATAAATTTGGTGTCTACAAATTCTATAACAACTAGCAGGAATGGCTTTTACGGCTATTGTGGGCGTGTTCTTTGCACGTCTAGGCAACGCGTTGCCTTTGAGAATTGTTGGAAATGTGATCACTTTTATGTTCCTAAATAGCTTATAAACATCATTGAATATTAGGTTGAACTATACAAAATATCGGCGACTTTACCATGACCTCATTCCTTCAATTCACCATAAATTTTTCTCATTTTTGAGAGTAGATACTAGAGACATTTTCTATATTAATATTAAAATATGGAGCACCTTCTATGGTGAATTCACCAAGAATGGTCAGCTTGAAAAATCAGAATTTCTAGTTAAAAAATCACGTCTATAAATTTGGTTTCTACAAATTCTATAACAACCCAGTTTTAAGAAAACTCAAAAATAAAATTTTCCACCGAACAAACCATAGCTGAAAATCTTTCCCGTACCCCTCAATTTTTTGAGAGGAATCCAAATCTGCAATCAGAATTGAAATCGGTGCACAGAGCGTGATTCTGGAGGGGGTTTTAGGCTGGGAGTCCGGGGTGTACGTAAGTAGTACTAAAACGTACTTCCGAGAAAAACGCCTGGACACGAGCCCCTTTATTTTGACTCCTGCGTTTACTGTCAAAATTTCAGCCTGCTCGCTTTACGAGGGACCGAGATCTGAAAAAGTTGACGGACAGACATTTCGTAATTATATAAAGTAGACCAGCCTAACGGCGGGCTGCTTTAGAAATTGTAAAAATGATTGCCAAAAACGAATTCCCTGTGTTGGAAAACCCCACCATGCAAACTTCAGCGTAAAATGCGATTTCACTCAAGGCATAACGGGTAGCGCGCTCGCCTCACGCACCCACGACCCGGGTTCGACCTCCCCCAGTGACCACCTATTTTGACTTTTTGCAAAAATTTTCAAAGGCACAACTACATGAAATTTCATTAGACAGGTTTTTCAGCGTTTTTTTATAATACTCAACGGGAACGCCCGTAGTGCGCGCACGTACGGACAGAGATTGTTTTATATATAGTAGAGATGATAAGAAATCGAGATCTAAAACTCGAAAATGTTTCAGACAAGTTCTCACTCGAAAGGCAGCCATTTATTCTACCTCATCTAGCTGAAGAGACGGCTGAGAAGTTTTCAAAGTTGCCTGGTTTGGAAAATTTTGAAGGAAATATTTGTGGTTCATGAGTTTGGTTCATTTCCTGTTTTCGCTTTTGTTTTTATCGTGTTCATTAAAGATTTTATGCTAGTTACAATGATGTTTCTAGACAGAACAAGTGATGATTCGTTAGTTAAAATCAAATTTTCACAAAAAATACAACGCAAAAATGTTCAATCGATTCCTTTTTATTGATCAATCTAACGTCTTCCAGGGAATCTAAAATGAACGAGTTAAAACTTAAAAACTGATGAAAACTGTCCGTTTTTTACTAATCTGAAAAATGAAAATTTTCAAGAATCATTGTTTGCTGAATTAAGATCATGGTGAACACTCTTCAGCCACTTACCTTCTCAAATCATCCATCACGTCACGCTTGCCTGGGAACCTGAAAATTATCGTTACAGTGTCATTGATATTGAAAACTCCATCGAAAATCGATTAAAGTTTACCGTCTTAAGTCATCCATCACATCACGTTTACCGGGGAATCTTCTCAAGTCATCCAGCACATCACGTTTACCGGGGAATCTTCTCAAGTCATCCAGCACATCACGTTTACCGGGGAATCTTCTCAAGTCATCCAGCACATCACGTTTACCGGGGAATCTTCTCAAGTCATCCATCACATCACGCTTGCCCGGGAATCTAGAATTTTCTGTTACAAGTGTTCTTTATTGAGTAATTGGTAAAGACTTGCCTTCTCAAATCGTCCATTACACGATTTTCACGTTTTCCAGGGAATCTGAAAATTTATCATTTACAAGAGTACGATCAAAGCTGAGAATTTGGGAACATTTCTTTGAAGGTCTCTACTAGCCTTCTCAAGTCATCCATCACATCCCGTTTTCCGGGGAATCTTCTCAAATCATCCATAACGTCACGTTTTCCAGGGAATCTGGAAATTCAGCATTTAAAAGTGTAGAATCAAAGCTTACAATTAGAAGCTTCAATCGGTAAGAGCTCACCTTCTCAAATCATCGATCACATCTCGTTTCACCTTCCCATCACCTCCCCGTCGGACTCTCGCCTCACCAGCAGGACCCAGTCTAAAAAGCTTGTCATTTTGTTCATCATATTATTATCTTTCCTATACGGTTCCCTTCCAGCTTAGCTATGAATATCTATTGGTTGATCTAGTGGTACTTTTAAAAGATACCCTCCGGCCAAAGCCATCGATACGAGCAGAAGTCCGAAGAGTAGCGATTTCATTTTACCACAACTGAAATGTATACTTACTTTTGGAATAAAGTTATGTACAGTAGCACAATTATATATACAAAAGTACAGTAGTACAGTAAGAATTGCAGCTAATTTTAAGCTAACTAGGCTGATTGGCTTGAACCACTTGTGAATGTAACCCTATTGTACCAAAGTTGGCTGACTAAAGAGATAAAAAGTCAATTGGATTCAGTTTTTTTTGGTCCAGCTCTTATACTCCAGTTTTTACCCACATTTAACCTTGAATCGGGCACGAAAAAACCACTCTTTTTTGATAATCCAAAGAGGGAAAACGAACAGGCATCTTGCTGGCAAAAAGGAAACTCTAACCTTGAATTGGGGCATTTTAGATTTTAGAACTAAAAAAACGAATTCCAGTACACTATCCGTTATTTATCATTTTCACTTTTTACTTGCCAAGGTCAATGACCATTAATTGAACACTGAGAAATGTGGGGGCAAATTCGAACGAACTTCAAAACTTATCAATCGAAGTGGTAGGTACAGTAACGAATAAAAGTATATCTCCCTCCCGCTTTTGTGTTTTTACTTTGAGGTCCTGCTTTCACACCTTGGCGTTTGGACCAGCACTGAAAAATGTAGATCTTATGAACTTGTGATCTGGACAATGCTGATATTATAAAATCTTCCCGTATTCTGTTTAGAGATGATCGAAACTCGAAATTGTGCCATTGGGCTTAACTTCCATTAAGCCCTGGTTTCTTTAAAGCTTTGAAGCATTGTTCATGTGCGAAGAAACTGGCAACAGTGAGATTGAATTCAAGTCAAACATTACATTTCTGTAAGTGAACCTCGAGAAACAGCATAGACCGGTGTGGAAAAATCGCGCTTCCATCCAAAGCCAAGAGTAGAATCTGGCTTTTCAATGTTCGACTCTGACTAATTCTCACCTGAACAGTTCTGTTTTTGGCTTGGATTACAGACGTTGCCAGCTCGATGGAACATTCTCAATTCCGTATCATTACAGCATGCTGAAAATAGAGTGTTTCGGTGTCTTTTAAAACTCTTTGCTCAAAGAGTAAAAATGACTTGTCTCGGCGATGGGATGTTCTCCATTTTGGGATACTGTAAGTAGAGAAGAGACTGGACTTTACAATAAGCCCCAAGTCATAGGACACATATAGAGAGCTATTCAAAGAGCTGTAAAGGTCAGTGAAGTGTTCAAACCTGCTGTGACTTTAAAAAGTTTTTCTCAAAACTCTGTTTAGTATTTTCATTCTCTTACTCAAAAACTTTGAAGCTATTGGAATGAAAGCTGGTTTTTGATCAGATCTTCATCCGAGATTGTTCCCTGAAATGAAAGGAGAAAAGAAATATGATCTCTCAAGTGAAAAAAGAGCTCTTTGGCACTTCAAAAATGAGTAAAAAAACGGATTGCCGAGCCAAAGTACTCTTTTTTATCATTTAGCCAGTATTTCTTTATCATCTCTTTTTCTACCAAGGCCAATGACCAGAAACTATATGAGGTGTACGTGAGTTTTAATATTGTCAAGTATTGGGGTTTCGGAGATGAAGTGATCATTTCATTATTAACAAATTTTTTGAGCGATGCAAAAAAAGGCAACATTTCTAAATAAATTATGAAAAAGTTTTATCTTCCGGAAGTCCAAAAAGTCGATCAAAATATGCAAAAATCAGGATGAGATCAGTCGAATAATAGAGTACAGTAATAGAGTACAGTAGGCTTTTCATTTCCTAGGCATTCTTGCATGCCTAGGAATGAAGCTGCTGGGGGGGCGTCAGGTTTTCATGGACTGGACATTGGCTGATTGGCTGAACATTAAAACAATGAAATTGATCTTAAACTTGTACCTTTTCAAAGGTTCTGCCTTTCTTAATAAATTTGAGGAAGATGAGTCTATCGGAGGCTATTCATTTCAGATGCAGATGGCATTCTTGCATGCCTTAGAAAATGAAGAGGTTGACTGTATTGAAACTTACGATCGGCAATGTGCGAAATCGACACGTATTCTGATGCTACCAGGCTAGGTCTTAGTGATGCTACAGTATTTTAAAATTGACATTTAAGTTTCCAAAGCTTTTCATCAAACTCACCTTTCGTTTACTTTTATTAAGCCCTTGTTTCTTTTAATTTCTTTAAATTTGAAGCATCGTTCATGTGCGAAAAAAACTGGCAACAGTGAGATTGAATTCAAGTAAAACATTGCATTTCTGTAGGTCAACTCCGAGAAACAGCATACAGGGTGCGCCATAATTGTCGCAAGAAGGTATCACGCTTTATTGAAATTGGCTTATTAAAAAGCCGGAGATCACTGGAAGGATGAAATCTCAAACCACCATCAATGGAGCTATACTTGGAATGGATTGTTGAGGTGTGGGAGAAGCTGTAAGATGCGATGATTGGAGATTCATTCAAGCAGTGCGGAATCACTACAGTAATCGATGAATCGGAAGACTAGCTCTACCCCTTTTTCAAAACGAGTGGACCTATCCCGATCGGATATCAAAAGCCGAAGGATGCTCGAATGGATCAAGAAGTTTTGGTTTTTCTTGAAGGACTAGATACTAAAAATGATAAATGCAACCTTGATTTTGATGCACCATTAGAGTTTATTGATTATAGTAGATACTTTTATCATGCTTTTTTATTTTTGTTTGTTGTTTTTGTTAGAGCTTAAATTAGACTTCGGCAAACAAAACCAAAACCAAAACAGACCAAAACCAAAACCAAAACCAAAACCAAACCTAAAATTGTAAAACCAAAATTGTGGCCAAAACCAAAACCAAAATTAAAACTAAAAATTAAACACCAAACCAAAAACAAACCAAAACTCAATTTTGGCTATAAATTAACATGTAACTTAAAATTGCAAAATGCAAATTTTAATGTAAAATGCAAATTTTAAATTGTAAAATGCAAATTTTAATGTCAAATGCAATTAGTCTTTCACTTTTTCTTCTCACTCCACAAAAATCTCGCGGCCGAAAAAAGGACCAAAACACGACCCCGAAATTTCGAAACAAAAAATAGCCTATGGGAGGGATTTGGGGATGCTGATTTCAAATCTGCAAACAGATTTTCGCCAGCTCCTCCCAGTCGCGAGATATTGGCGAGTTTTGGCTAGTTTTGGTTTTGGCTTTGGTTTTGGTTTGTTTTGTTTTTGGCTTTGTTATGGTTTTGGCTTTGGTAGTTTTGGTTTTGGTTAAGTTTTTGTTTCTCCGAAGTCTAGTTTAAATAAAAATTAAGTTCTTTTATTGATCGAAATGTATCGAAATGTAAGGATCCAAAGAGTGTTCATTTGGTTTACTTTAGTAGATGGTTCCGACCAATAGACCGGCACCTTTTATTACCCTCCAATAGAGCGGCACCCAAAAGGGGTATCGAAAAATAGAGCGTCTAATAAGTGGATTTCATAAAATAATTTTTCTGTGTCATTCTCAAAGCCATTCTCGGCACTGAGTGTTTTAACTTCTAACTAACTTCTTGAAAAGTTAAAGTATTTTTAGATAAAATTCGCCTTAATCACAAATTTCTCTATTTTAGGTACTTGATTTTAGGTTTTTAATGGGACCCATTGCCTATCCATTAACCCATTAAAAACTTGTCTAAAGGCTGATCACTCAAAAAGTGACCAAGTCACTTCCAGCTGAAGAAATCCCTTATTTTTTATCTGAAGCCCACTGTGATTTTTTTTGTCAAAAACTTTTTGAAATATAATAAAGTTTATCAAAAAATCTGGGAAGAATTGATGGTTTGGCTTTTGAGAAATTGTCACGCAAACTTTTTCTACAAACTTTCTTTCCAACCTAATAAATTCTGCCGGAATAACGTTCAGCAAAAACGGAAAGCAGATTCGGAATCAGCGTAAAATCCTGCTTAGAATGGTACAGGTTGCATATCCTTTAGCCGCATTGAAAGCATAAGCCTTGAAAGTATAAGCTTCCCCCAATATTACACGTGGGTAAAACATAAACCGATTCAATTTTCAACACAAAATTTTAAAAACATGCTATTAAAATTTGATGAGAAACCTTGATTTGTCCGATCAAATTTGTTTGATACTCTCGCATTTCGATAGGCGTTTCTTCCATGAAACACGACAAAAAGGCAACAAATTGCATGAAATCGAAATTAGGAAAAGAAAATAGAGATAAATCAGATAGAAGATCGGATACCGTGCTCTTTCTAATATCAGTGCATTCTTTAATAGCAGTGCACTCTCTAATAGTATTCCAGGTCCGAGAGGGGGTTGAAAAAATAGTAGTGCGCACTACTATTAGAGAGAATACGGTACTGGTACATCAGAATTCTTCAGGGAATGAATCCGGGAAAACGGATGAGCTGTTTCAATTTTGCAAATCTTTGTGAAAAGTTTAATTGCGCTTTTTTTTCTCTTGCAACGTTTCCCTCAACTTTTGATCTGTAATTTTGCATGATACTTGCTTTCCGGCCCGAAAATTGGCAGTTTTATGAGACGAACACCTTTGTTTTGCTAAATTCAAAGAAAATTTTCATTTAGTTGTCTGCCTGTATGTATTGAATATTGAAAAAATGAAGAAAGCATGATTACCAATCTAAAAATGAAATAAAACTACTTTCTCCTAGCTTTTCATTTTTGAAAATCTATGTAAAACAAAGTTTAGACAACAGATCTAAACAGATCACTTGTGAGTTATTTTCAAGAATTTTTATTTGTGATTCAACATTTATCTGCTCAAAAAGTCTGGGTAAAACTCACTGGGATACTGAATTTATATAAAATTTTTTGTAGATTTTACTCATTAAAATGATAGGTTTTTTTTTTAGTCATTTAGGTCTTTTTTTGTAGACTTTATAAAACTAATTATGATTTAAATTGAATTGCTGCTAAAAAGCTAAAACTGAAATTAAACCAATAATGAAAGAGAGTTTTTATTCAAAGTTTTGGATTATCTAAACGCATTCAATTAGGCATTTATCTAGCTTACAAAACTTGCAGATTTACTGGACATTTACCCAGCTTTCAGAT